CTAATTCCTGTACCCTGCTCTAATTAAATCTGAAGACAGCCGTATGCTTTTTAAAATTCTCCCTGTGCTAATTTTTGCATTTCTTGGACCAGATATCTTTTTTTCCCATTTGCTTTTTAGCAGTAGGCAGATGAATGACATTTCATAAGTAAAGAACTAGGGACCACTGCAGTGCCTTATCAAGACAGACTCATAGAATTTATGTAAAATCTGCTAAATTTGTATAGTTCAGTACAGTAGTTTCAGATATCATTTTTACAGAGTATACTTTGCCTGAATCTGGACAGATATTCTTTATAATAAAGTATGATCCTGCTTCCACTGAACTATTTGGCATTTTAAATTCTAATACAATGCACACATATCCATGACTGCCAAATGTTTAATACATTTTTCTGCCTCTTTCACACCACGACGACGAAGTTCCTATTTTTTCCCTCACTTCAGCAGGCTTAGGATGTGAAGTTAGCCATGCAAATATTTAATGTCTGAACAACAAAAGGCAGATTATTGGACACTCACCCTGGCTAGGGTTCATTTGTTGCTCTGGAATCCAAATTTAAACTTTTTTCTCATAAAATCAGAGAATAACAGAAGCCTAATAAGTCCCTTTGTTTCAGTGTACCTTTCAATCTGGAAAGAATTTCAAATTCCATTAAGAAGTAATTCATATGCTAAGCTAGTATGAGGTTCAGATGCTTCAAACTGTCTTATCTCTCAATGTCTGAGAGATGAACTTTATGCAGAACATCATAAATCCAGCAACAGAAAGGTGAAAAAGTAGGGAGTAGCATTTTCCCTCCTTGTTGGGTTGAAATTTTATGTTGACAGTAAAAATCTAAGAGAGCTCCGGATCCTAACATGCCACCAGTTCAGCCTCCATTATATCCAATGTCAAAAACAGCTAGTCCTGAGGCTTGGGAAGGACGAGGTAGACAGATCAAGCACAATATTGGATTCTAACCATTGCTGAGAGATATCTGAAGAATCTCCTGTTCAATAACACATCGTCCTGTGGAAACTCCATTTTTAAAAGGACATTTCTCACAGTATTTCAAAATAGCTTATTACAAATTGCCCCAAACTGTTTTTCTGTGTTAGATTGTCAGGGTACATGTTAACAAACTAATTCCCTCCAAAAGTTTTTCCTTTCCTTCTTGTGGATGAGACTGTCCACTGGTAAAGTGCAATCTTAAATACCTTTAAAACTGGTCATATTAACTGGAGAAACTAGAATTTATACTGTAGTTCAAACTCTTGAACTCTGAATTTCCACTGTTAAGATCCTAAGTTTCCCATAGTGTATATAAAAAGTCAAATACTTGTTTTAGATCTTTTAGATTATATAATTAAGACAACCTACAATTACAAGGACTCCACTATATAACACCAGAGAATCCAGGTTGCTGGCAAGAATTGCCCAACTATTAGGAAACTATTTTCTCATAAAGCATCTTTCATATTTATCAGAGTCCAATCTCCTTTGAGCACTGAGCAAAATGGTCTTTTGTTCACAGCCTACAACTATATGCATCAACTTGACATTTTAGGTAAGAATACCTATGCTGCATTCACGAACTGAATTGATCCTTCCTCCATAATTCTGTTCAGGAAAAACAAAGTTTAAAACAAATGATTACATTTATTAATATTTAAAAGGATGAACTAACAACTAATTATCCCAGAATAATTTTACTGTTGTATGGATTTTCTCCCCATTATGTATATCCTCATCTCTCAAATCTTAACTTTCTATTCTCAGGCTGTAGAAATGACTCTCCAGTGTTGCGCCTTCTGCTTGAATGCGGTCTTTTGCCAAGCACTGGATTGGATCAGATCAGAGCATCCAAAAACTGGGGACTCTCCTTCCACAGCCATTTTGTTTGCTGCAATGACCCTTATGGTAGTTTTAATCTATCCTAAGTGCTACCTGACAACCTGGCCAGAGTTAGGTCCTATTACTTAATGCCACCCAAGGCTTCTTCCTGGAAAGGCTATTTATTTAGGATTTAGGATTTTTTTAGGATTTTATTGGAAATTTATATGCCGCCCTTTTCCCTGAGGGGACTCAGGGCGGCTTACAACAATGAAGGGAAGGGAGTGCAAGACAAGACTTAAAAAGAAAAGAATCGTGATTAAAAGAAAATTGATCATAAAAACACAACATTCACTCAACATTCGGGCGGGGTGAGAGTAATCCTATCCCCAGGCCTGACGGGATAGCCAGTTCTTAAGGGCTGTGCGGAAGGCCTGGACTGTGGTGAGGGTACGGATCTCCACGGGGAGGTTGTTCCATAATGTCGGAGCTGTTGTGTTATGTTGTGTCATGGAACTGGTCCTCCATGTCCGCTGCAGGGAGTCCAAGCAATGTATTTCCTCTGCTTGCAAATTATATCCTGCATTTCGTTTAGCTCAAGGTGGAACATGCTTCCTCCTGTTTTTTCCTCACAACAGCAAACATCTCTTGATGAGAGGCCAGGCCATGCTGCCTGCCTGCCTGAGGAAAGTATAGATTTCTAGCACCAGGATCCAGACTAATGATCCCAGGAAGTCAAGAAACAACCAATCATGGAAGAGAGGAAAAAGTGAGCCAAGGCAATTGATTCTAGCTGTGATACTTTGGGCTACACTCCAGAGTGGGTTCTGACTGATGCAGTTGTAGTAAATGGAAAGGCTTTCAGAGCTCACAAATAGTGATAGCAAATCCAGCTTTGGCCTTTGCATATCCACAATTCCTGGAAAATCATGTTCCTGCTTTGGACAAGCCACATTTCACTTATCCCTATCGGATCCCAACACATATTCATTTATTTTAGGTGGTCATAACACCACACTATTTGAGAACTCCTGACTTAATTCCTTGAAGGACCCTGGGTGTTCAGGTTATGTATGGAAAGGTAATCAATAAATTCCCAGCCCATTTTTGACATTGAGCCAAGGATTTAATACAATGAAATTATTCTGCTCTTTCCAAACTCTGTAGATCCAAGTTCAATGCATTTTGCCTGATTAGAAGTGCAATCAAAATGTTTCACCTGAGAAGTCAGTGTGCTAAGCTCAACATAGATTTTACTTAGTAATGGATTTTGAATTCTATTAGGTTATCAGAGCTTATAGGAAAATTCTGGAATTGTACATTAGTCTTATCCAGAGCTATTTAGCTTAATAGCCAATGTTGAAAGTAAAATGCTCACTAAATATTTTATTCATTAAAAATACATCAGGAACTAGTTTTCTGATCAGCTTTTAAAATGGTAAATGCAGTATTTGCATTCTTTCCAAATGTTTCTTGTCTGTGACCACTTATATAATGAGCATTTCTTTTAATTTGCCCTTTATCTACTTTCTTGGATTTGAAATAGCACTGTTATGCTGAGCAATAACACACTCTGTCGCGCCCCCCCCCCACTTTTGAATCGTCAATGAACACTGTAACAGCAAGACTCCCATCTTGTGGCTGATTATAGTATTGTAACATGATAACCACAACAGAATCTTTGGCATTTGCAACTCTTAATTGTGCTTAAAACTATTTTATCTCTGTCTGATGCTTTAATATCCTGTTTGGAAAAAATGAAGGCTATAAAGCTGAACATCCCTTTTCAAGTTCTGGAGATAAATACTATTGATTCTTCAATTCTGACAGAGAAACATCTCTAGAATCCCTTCCCACATTTTTTCCCTCAGGCCTTTTTCTCATTTTAAAAAATTACAAGTTGCTAAAACAGCTTCTGTTTCAATGGGTTTTTGTATTTATCAATATTGTATACATTAATAATAAAAATGGATACATCTACTGCCTCTACTACATCTCACAACTCTCTGAAGGGCTTTTAATATTGTATTATTTTTAATTTTAAGGTGGCAATTTTGATTTTGCAGACCCCGAGGTGGTCTTGGGAATGTCCAGGAATCCTTGGGCCACACTTTTGAAAAACATCGCATAAAAAAGCTGCATCTGCAACTTGATTTGTTGGTTCTAAAAGAAATGTTAATCAGAATATGATTTTTCCCCTCACAAACATTAAATAAACAAACAGACATTAGTCAAGTAAATCAAGAAGTTACTATCATTTTCCCAGTTTCAAAACCCAACCATGGGATGCAAGTAAGATTCAGTCAAACATCTACGTAGGGTTGTTTTCTATTTATCTTGTCATATTTCTAAAGAACTGTCTGAGTAAAATAACCATTAGCAGAATTTAATAGAAATACTAGAATATAACAACAGTAGAAAATTTGATGAATTTATGAATGTGAGCAATGAGTAAATCCCCCCCTTTAATAATATAATGCCTTCAAAAGATCCAGGACAGATAAACCTGCAAACAAAAGTTTATCAATAAAAAGTGAGCTCTTATGTAGCAAAGAAAGTCTAACCAATGCATAATGTACAAAAAGGAGAATGAATTCCCAAAATCTAGGAAGAAGATTCTGTAGCTGTAAAAAATTCTGATGGTACAATAGCAATGCTGAAGCACTGATGCTCATAAGACTAAAAGATTAATATATTGTGGCTTTAAAAAACTACTAAACAAGAGATGTAGTTTCAAATATTCTTAATATGAGAAAAGAGCTGAGTAAGGGCTTGTCAGACTTTGCGTGACCATTCACAGGCTTCCAGAGTAGGATACCATTACCTACTCTGCAAGCCTGCCTTATGCAGGGATACAAGGTCATATGATCTTTCTATCCTCTTGGGAGAAAAACGGAGCAATGTCATTTTCACTGATCTGCATTGTAAGCATTTCTCTCCATTGTAAGCCCATTTAACTTTCCATAAATACTACTCCTGATTAAACTCTCTCCCCCCACAGCCTCCCAAAACACATTTTCTTGTGGGTTGTACAAGATGACGAATACTCTATAAAATCTAAAAATACCAATTCATCTAAGATACCCAATTATTAAACAATTGATTCCTCACTAACAAACATTGATGATTCTATATTTTTTTTACTAAAAATTCAACTTCATCCCCCAAAGTATTAACATGCAACCCTTCTTAAGACAGCTTTTATTGTTAATATGACATGAAAAAGTATGCAAGTTACACTAGAATTTAAAAACACACATCACACATTAACATAAGCCCATTTCCTGATTAAATTGCTAAGTGAAACTAGTCAAATTGTTTTATAGTCCTTCATCCTTCTATTTATGATGCAACTAATAGACAACAATTTTCTTTACAAATATTTTGAGTAAAATTTGTGTATCTTGATTGCTAAAATACAAAAGTTTTCCATACAAAAATTTGTTGAAAGCACTTTCCTTCCCCCTTCCAAAAAGCATGTAAGAATGTAAAAAGATAAAGAGTAGATGGCTAGACTAACAACCAAACCCCACACAAGTATTTTTTTAACAAGGATATTAAAAAGGACCACTGTAAAAATGAGGGTTGGGGTTTTTTTTTGAAAAAAACAGTACATAGTTCAGTGTCAATATTTCACATTTCAAAAAGCTATATATATGATTTGACATACAAAAATCTCCGTTTCTGGGAGAAAGGAAATTAAGGCCAGACACAGCTTTAAAATTCACAAAAGAAAATACAAAAATATGTTGTGCTTCCAAGACTGTTCTCCTCTGCAGGAAGGGATAAACATAAGTGAGGACTAGATGATTGGCATTTACATGATTGCACAGCTTCTGTTGGCTCCTCGTGGGTCTCCCTATTTTAAATATAAAAAAATGTTAAGATTGTAACTGATATATAAAACTGTAAAGTTTGATATACATTCAATGTAATGAATAATCTGCCTATTTTCCCAAATTATAATAGTATAAACAATAAGCATGTCTGAATCTTATTAACAATATATTTTACGTTCTGTCATAGGAGGAAAACATGGAACAATTCAAGAGTATTAAAATCATTTGCATGAAACAATATAAGTTGTTTGACAAATATTATATAAGGGGCATCTCTCCTTTCTATATCTGAACAATATTGTTGCATATACAATATCAGAAACACATGGACAACTATTCCCTTCAAAACCTTGAGCAAGTTTTCATATGCAAAAGCTGAAATAGAACTAAATTCTACATTGTTGTTAGAAACTTTTTTTAACGTGGAGTTGTAGCATGGATGGAACAGTTTTGAGTGTCTTTGTCTAGAATAAAGCACACCTTTTGTCCAGACATGGGCCTGAAATGTGGAGTGTTCCAGGCATAACAATGTTGGGATGACTGAGAAAAGCAAGCAAGGCCACTTGATTATAGCTAAGGAAACACAAAGAAAGGAAGGTACTGTTAGGGGAAAAGTGGTTGGACATGCTGCTCTTCAATGTATGGGCATAATGTGCAATGGCTAAGAGGAGGATGGAAGAGACATTGGTGAGAAGATCTGGAGCTGGGGGAGGGGTTGACTGCAGCACAGTATATGCTTGCCACTTGTAGATTCCCCACTTGAATTCAAGTACAGGGAAAGGCAATGAGAGGTTTGAGAGGCAGGGCGGCCCATGCCTCATGTGAAGACAGGAGAGGTACATAAGTTTTTTTTTCCTACTAGCCCTTTAAGATCCCTCCAACATTTTTCAGCCAACCCTGGAACAAACAAAATATTCCAGTTTATTAAAACATGATTATTTGCAGATGTTTGCGAACCTCTGAGTCACAAATGTTTATTTTGAATTAAAAAACAAAACATATTTTCTACGTTGTGTACGCCCCTAAAAAAATACAAGATGGTCACAAGACAAATGTTATACTTAGTGCCATGGCTGTTTATAATGGCTTGGATCTAAGGGAGCTCAGTTCTGAATTTGCTTATGGCTCTCAAAATATTTTAATAGCTATAATTTAGTACCTTTAGGCCAGGCCTATGTAAACAGTGTTTAAAACATTAAAATCGTGGAGCAGGCTATGATCTAGACCAGTGATCCCTAATCTTTGTGGCTTAGTGGCCCGGCCCAGCTGGGGCAGGGAAGTGGCCTGCAGGAGTGGCATGTATGCATGACGACCCGCCTCTTGTGCGAGGGGAGCTGCGCATGCACACCAGACTGCCTCTTGTGCAGCCCAGTTCCGAATACGCCACGGCCAGGAGTTGGGTATCCCTGATCTAGATCAATGTTTCACAACCTCAGCAACTTTAAGAAATACAGTATGTCTCTGAACTCTCAGAATTTTCTCAGGCAGCACTCTGGAAGTTGAAACCCACTTATCTTAAACTTACTAAAGTTGGGAAACACTGATCTAAGGGAAAAACTGGTTTCAAATTAGGAACTGGCTAAACAGAAGACTAAATATACACTGAGGAAAACCTGAATAACTGAAAAACGTTTCAAACATAAACAAGCATAAATGTACTACTCTTCCCAGTTCATTCTCTACCAACTCATGAGCTAAAGATGATTAATGTAGATCTGG